CCGAGCAGGTCGGTCCTGTGCTCGCCGCTGGCTCGCCGGGCGTCGATGTGGCCGCCCAGCAGGCCGTGCAGCAGCCGGCCGGCGCGGCGCTTGGCGGCCTTGCCGGGCAGCGGCAGCCAGTCGGGCAGCGTGAAGGGCCAGAACATTTCCTGCAGCGCCGTCTCGCTGAGCACCTGCACGGCGTCGGCCGCCGCGGCGGTGTCGCGGCCGATGGGCGTGCTGAACAGCGTGCGGGAGATGACGTCCATCGTCAGGTGGCTGAAGAGGGCGTCCATCGCGACCTCGCCCGGGCGCACGGCGTCCAGCCCCTGCACGGCCGCCTCGGTCATCAGCGCCGCGTAGCCGGCCACGCGCTTCGGAGCAAAAGCCGGCATCAGCATGCGGCGCTGGCGCTGCCAGGTGGCGCCCTCGGTGACGAGGACGGACTGCCCCATCAGCTCGGCGAACACCTCCGGCCCGCGCTGCCAGCGCACCAGCGCGTCGGCGTGGTCCACCATGATGGCGCGCAGCAGCTCGGGGTCGAAGACGTCCACGCCGCGCTCGCCGAGGATGCTCTGCGCCACGAGGTCACCCAGCGGGCGCTGCGCGGCGATGACGGCGAGGTAGTCGCGTCGCATCGCCATCAGCGTGGGGAAGCCCCACCAGCGGGTGGGGTGGCTCGGCAGGTCGGCCCAGGTCAGTGAAGTCATGCCCGGAATGCTGCGCTCACGCGTCGGGCCGGTCTTGAACGAATGCGACACTGACCGGCATGGATGACGGCACCCGCCTCTGGCTCCCGCCGCTGGCCCTGGCCGGCTGCGTGCGCGGCGTCATGCTGCGCGACACGCGCGGCCGCGCGCTGAACGCCGCCGAGCGCGAGAACTACTTCCCCGCGACGCCGCTGGTGCAGCTGTTCTGGTGGGCCGAGGGCAGCAGCGAATGGCTGGCCACACCGGGCTTCTCGGCACCGCCGCCCGGGCTGGCCCACGCGCCCGCGTTGTTCGGCGGCCCGTTCACGCTGCCCACGCACACGCGCAACCCGGGCGAGATGGCGGCTTTCAAGCTGCTGATGCTGCCCGACGCCTTCACGGCATTGACCGGCATCGCGCTGGACCGCCACGTCAACCGCGTCGTCGACGTGCGCGAGGTGCTGCCCGCGGACTGGTGTGACTGGGCCGGACGCATGTCCGCCGCGCCGGACGACGCGGCGCGGCTTCAGTT